GTCACGTTCTTATCGCTTCCCTATAAATGAAGCCCATTGTTGGTGTGGAAGGGGACAGAGTCTCACACCGTAACCAGGCTGGTCTGGACATTAAACATTCCTCCTTATGTGTCTCCTGGGTTCTGGGATTGCAGGCAGATACCACCGTGTGCAGCCCAAATGGGAAATTAAGCCCCAGTCTTGAACTGATGGCTCAGCTGGGTCTAGCTGTCCTAATTTTCAGGCTACATGTACCTCTGTGTCTATAGCTCACATTCACAATTTGACTGCAGTTTCAGAAAAGGTACCACTGTAGCTCAAGCTATATTTTAATTTTAAAATATTAAATGTTAGACAGCAAAGCTTTGGATAGAGAGGAATCACTTTTTCTTGTTCTCCTTCCTCTCAGTTTAGGAATTCAAATGGAGCTGTAGAGTTAATAACAAGCTAGGCAGAAGCGGTGCATGCTTGTAATTCTAGGGCTCGGGAGCCTGAGGCAGGAGGATCATAAATTTGAAGTCAGTCTGTGCTACATAGTAAGGCTCTGTCTCAAAGGAAAAAAAATAAATTAATAATGCCTTTGAATTGTTTATTTCATACTAGCCTCTGTGTTGAGGGCTAACGTGTAATTATTTAATCTCCACACCAGGCCTACATGGTGAGTACTTAGTAGGTACTCTTTGCATGGAGGGACCAACAAGAACAGAGACTGAGTGGCTGGTATCCAGACTGAGAGCCACGGGGAGCGGGGCCTGCCAGCCCGGCTTGTGATCACGGCCACTCTGACCTTGCGTGCTAGAAGGGGGTTACAGATGCTGCACACATTTCCTTTCCTCTCAGAGCTTCTGAGTGTGACATCCTGGGCCTGAACTGAAAGCCGATCATTGGCATGAATGTGGACGGGGACTCTGCATGGTCATGTCGCAATCCTCTCACATGTGGCCCTGGGCCCTGAGCCAGGCAGCTGAGCCCATGCTGGGAAACTGGCACTCACCTCCCTGGATTTCCCAGGGGATGAGGATGCGGGGGTGGGGGGCGCTGCCCATGTCTCCTTTTCCAGAAGGAGCAGATACACTTATTAGATATTAATGGAGGTCCTGACATTTGCTTGCTACTATCTTACTCTTACACACAGAGTAAATACTATTTGTTACTATTTATATACCGTATATACTATGACACAGGCCAGGCCCATTGGCTTGTTGGACTCCTCCAAGTTAATTTTACCTGTCTGGTGAAGCTGTGAGGTTTTCAGCAGCTTGTGCTTCCCAGAGAAGAGGAAAGGCCTGGTGTGATTCCGTCTACACTGCCGTGAGCAGGGAAGGCCTGGTGTGATTCCATCTATACTGCTCTGAGCAGGGAAGGCCTGGTGTGATTCCGTCTACACTGCTGTGAGCAGGGAAGGCCTGGTGTGATTC